TATATATTTTGGACCCACCCAGCCAAAAGAAACACATATAGAGGTTTCCAGTCGGCAAGGTAATAATTATTGTCTGTTGTGTTTTCTGACATGCAGCTTATCCAACTTGGATCTATCTGTTCCTATCTCCATTTTTCTGTCTTCTTCACATGTTTAAGAAAAAACCACCGTTCCCTTTCCAAACACAAGAGGGAAGAAGAATCAGATCTCAATCTTACCCGATATATATCTCTCTCTCTGCATTTGCGTTACAAGCAAGCAGAACCAGTCATGAAATGGAAACCCCATTGTACGTGTTGTGTTTACAATCCTTCTTATCCTTATGGGTCTTCCCTAAGCTCAGGAAATTCTTACATATTGTTATTTATTTATGGTTGGAACAAATTTATTTATCATGCGTGAATTAAAGGTGATTAGGACAAAAATAGTCGACAGTTCTGGAAAAATGGTCGACCTGATGATACAACTCGCACCATTACAAAGAAAAATAACGATCAATTGGGAAATGAAATGGACATCCGGTGACCATTACCTTATCAATGTTGGACCACGATTTCATCACTGGAAAAAATGTCAGTACTATTTAAGTAACAACTCTGCCAACAGTACTTAAACATTTTTATTATCAGGTGCAACGTAACATACAAACTGCTCACAATGTGTAAGTGGTATGTGTGCAATGGAACCAGAAACTTGTGCCGCCACTTAACCGCACTGTTCATTTGACACGAGTTCCATGGATCAGATCAGAGGGTCAAATAATTTCATCACACCATTATATATATGTGATGCTCATTTTATGTGGCCAGAAATTATCTTATCATCGGCGCCTCCCTTTAGGCCTTAGGGTATGCTTTAGCTTTCATTAGATTTCTTTGTCTTCCACTTTCTATCCCTCTATACTATACGTGTTACCATCAAATTCATCACTCTATCATCGACTTCTGGTGTTTTCTGCTTCTACTTTTACACCTAACCCCCTCTCTCTCTCTCGATTTTCTAATTAAAGCTAATTTCACATGCCTAATCTTCTGGATTAATTAATCCCTCTAATATTATATTAAGATGCCTTCTTCTCCATTTTGGGAAAGGTGGCAGGCAATATATAATTATATATACATTGATGCTAGCTAGTTATAGTTTGCATGGGGAGTTGTATTTTGTTTAATAATAAGCTTCATTTTGCTTTCCCCTTTCTTGCCATTGCTTTCCCTCGTTGGCTGGTTGGTTGTTATCATATTCTAGTTTTTAATATAATTTCAATTAACATTCTTTTAATATTGACATTAGGATGTTATCGCGTATCGCTCTTAAAATTCATAAGTATTGAAAGTGTGAGATAATAGTTTCAAAAATAATTCATACACACTACATTCGACAATTGTGAATTGATATCACCAACTGATAATGCTGCCGCCCCACATACAACAATACATGGATGGAGTTTACTTCTTTGATGGACATGCATTGAGTTATTTAATAAAATCTCCTTCATTTTCAGGAAAGATCCATTTCCCTGTTTTATATTTTCCAATTTCAATCATAATTGTAGTTTTCACACACCCCGTGTCCCTCCATTTTCCCTAAACTATCAATTCTTGTATATTAAAATTGCATCTCGTTTTCAGGAAACTTCACTAACTTGCATCCCTAAAACAAAACCAAAATCACCTATCAGCTGCAACCGTCACCACCAAACATGGCTTCTTAATTATTCTAATTTTATCTGTCAATTTTCACCACCGACCTCTTACATTTTCTAATTATATGTCATTTTTATTAATCACCAACTTCTTAACAACACAATATGGTGGTGTGGTAGTCGCGCGGAAGACTACTAAATTTATTTTTCTTAATGACAGAGAAGCTCGACGAATATATTTCAAACTAGATAAATACCAAAAAAATTCAGAAAGCTGATGATTCGATCATACATCTCTATCCATCATCGACAAAGAATTACTAGAACAATAAGCAGTAAAAGTCAAACTCATAGTAATTAAAATACTATGCAAACTCTCATGCATTGTCATTTGAACTAAGGGGTAGTTTGCTTGAGGGTTTTGGTGATGGATTTGGTCATGGAAATATATCCATCATGGACTTGAACCGAAATCCATCGTTTGCCTTAGGAAATTAGGAAGATGGAATTTATGGGGCCCACCACTTTTGGGGTTCCAAATCCGTGGACCCCACGGACTTGGAAGTTCCACCTCTTGAGGTGGGATTTGGGTGATGGATTAAAATCCATGATGGTAAATTACCTTTCTACCCTTAATTATATTTTTAATTACAAATTTGTCCTACTTTAATTCAATGGTCATGCAACTGTAAACTTTTATAATTTCGTATTTTATAAATATGAGAATTTATCATTTTATTTTGTAATATCGTATTTTATTTAAATATGAATGGATATGTGATTTGTTAGATTCACCTACACTTTATGCTCATCTTGTACATTATTATTTGATTGATTGTCGGATTCCACATCGGTGAGTTAGCAAGAAGATGATGAGTTGTAGCAATAAAGCGAGCAATTGGCTGCAATTGATACATAATATTGCGTACATTATTAGATGAATTATTTTTTTTATGAAGGATTATTAGATGAATTTTTAATTAGTTCCAAGATGAATTGTTAATTAGTGCCAAATTGTAATACATTTCTATATTTGTAGTTGAATTATTAATCCACATAGTAGTAAAGAGTTTAAAATTTTTTTCTATGTTTTGGATTAGTTTTAAATGAAAGATTTGGATTATAATATAAAAATATAATTAAATAAGGGTAACTAGGTAATTTGTATTTAATATCCACAAATCTAATCAAACAAAGTCCATAATCAAATCCATCAAGCAAACAATAGACTTGTTCAAATCCATAATGCCACCAAATCCATCATATATCCATGGTTTTCCAAAACCCAGGTTTTACCAAAACCCTCATTTTTCAAATTCATGAAGCAAACGAATGTTTGATAAACTAAAACATATAACAATTCATAAACTTGGGAAACAAAGAAACCTAATCGGTGTTATTTAAGCAATTCAAATCTCAATGTGTAGGACAATCTTGGTCCAAACAAGGAGTCTATGTATGGCTATTCTATCGCCATGTGTCCAGCTGATAATCTTTTTTCATAATACAATATTATTGCTCTGTTAATCTTTTCTTTTCTTTTTTTCTTAGGTTGATGTACCCAAAAATTATATTAATCATTAAGTTACCCAAAATATCTCCTTTCCATATTGTCGACAATATGTTACAAAACTGCTTTTGTTTATTATATCAATTAGTCTCCTGACAAAACAAGCTAATTTTATTAGTGATGGAGATGATAATAATTAATAAGTAAGCTGTCTGACTATAGTTATGCTGCCACGTAATTTCTTCCTGTTCTTAATCAGCCTCGCCCTTTGGTGTTTGATGAGATGATATCTTATTCTAAGTCTTACATTCGTAGATGATATGTTTCATTAATACTTTGGTAATCATTGGAGTTGTTAGCTTAAAAATATGCTATTGCTTTAGATAAAATGTTTTAGGAGTTTTTTTTTAATTATCCCCACCAACGAATCACTCGTTATTAAATTCTAACCGGTAGATGAATGAATTGTAATATTACTTAAAATTTTTCGATGCATTGGTATATGATCGATCAAGATTACTAAACTTTTGATTTAATGGTAATTGTTTGAGTAGACATCTTCTAATTGTCTACTAACCCTACCATGCTTATCATCAATTTTTTTCTTTTTTTGGTAGAGATTATCATCAATTCACATTCAATTAATATATCTTTACAAAACAATACTAATTGGTTTCTCTCCTTTCCCATAATAGAGATAAGGCCATTCTATCCTTGCCAAAATCCCATAATTTAGGACATCAATTATCATAGATATTTTTTTAGAAAAGGAAACAAAAAATATATTTCAAAAGACAAGACAAGGGCATATGGGTTGTGTTTTGGTTTGAATCAACCTTCAATTGGTTCAAAAATATATAGCAATGAACAGTTGCACATGTTCAACATGGCAAGATCCTTGGAGAAGTATCAGGATATATATATATAGATGTCAGAAGATCAAAATTATATCCTAAAATATGTTACAAAATTTATTTTCTCTACTTCCTTATTGGCATTTTATTTATTTATTACATAAAATAAATTAGATGGGATGGGAACATATGTTCCTTAGTACTTATTACATTCATTTTCTTTTTATTTATGATTATGGGGTCCAAAATATGTTGCTACATTTAATGACAAACATGCATTGTATCATTTTTCAAGTTTTAAATGGATGATGGTATACATATATTGAAGTGTTCTCCAACCACCAATCCTCTCCCATTTGAATACCAAGATAAGACCTCTTCTAGGTTTCCTTGTCAAACTCAGTATGATAATAACATTATCATCACTCAATAAAAATTCAATCGTTAATCACACTTTTAACATGACGTTGAAGATCAAGCCATTCTGCATTGCAAGAAGGCAACTAGATATAAAGTCATATAAACATTCGTGTGCTAAGGTCAATATCACTCACTCAAAGATAAAGCATAAATATAATGAGAAAGTTTAAAACAACTACCTCAAAATCAAATTGGACTCCTTTCAGGGAGATCAGACTTTCATCATGACTTCTAAGTTATAACCATGTTATGTTTTTGTTCTTAATGACTCGTATACTTATGACCTAAACTAAAGTCGTATATTCGATCTCTCTAAGGTGTAACTATCATAACGCTATCAAAACTATGGTTCAATGTGTTTAGTCATCTTGTTTATCACCCGCAACTTGCTCTGCATGTCATAGTCCAGCTGAAAAGGATCAAACAACCATAGTTGACCTCCCCCAACCCAAAGCTTTTCATCCCATACATACACACATATACATACGTCAGCACCAGTGAATAGACAGAGACACCGTCCTAGAAACAGCGTCAAAAGAAGAAAGAAAGTAGAAGAAAAACCTAAACCCAACCAAAAACCCACAGTCAAATTTGAAAATTTCCCTTATATAGTAAGCCGTTGTGTTGTTAGGTCTTAAATACTAGTCGTAAGTAGTGGCGTACAGAAATCCGTGTGGGCGGGGCGATTATATCACCATCACCATCATATAAATAGAGAAAGAAGAGAAACTCTGGCGATTGAAACAGAGAGGCAGATTGCAGCAAAAAGAGGAAGAGAGAAAAGGAAAAAACAGAGGGAGAGAAAGTTACCCTTTTCCCCTTCCTTTTGTTCTCTCCCATTTTCCAGACTTTTAAAACCATAAATCCCAGCTGGGTATCGAGTTAATAGTTACAATCCAACACCACTGTGAAAAAGTTTCGATCTTGGCTGTTTTTTACTCCTTTTGGGGGGAAGAGAAAGAGGAGCTGTCTCGCTCTATATAGGAACAAAGGATGAGAGCTTTATCCATTTCCAGCTAGCTACGATAGCTAGTTAGTTTTACCCCTAAAGCTTCTGGCTTCTGCAGTTTATCTTGTACGTAACTCTCTCTCTTTCTCTCTCAGTAAATTCTGGATATGGGGTTTTGATGATCTGTGTGTTCTAGTTCTCATCTCCCTCGAATTCTCAGCTGGTAATTCTGTGCCCAGAGCTCATTTCAGCTGGTACCTCCTCTGTTTTCTGTTCTTTAGATGTGATTACAATTACATTTGTTTCTTGTTATCTTTGTTAATGTTTATGGAAGATGGGAATTAACGACAAGAATAAAAGATGTCATCATCTTTATATCTGTGGTCTACGTCTTTTCCCTTCTGGGTTTTGGTTGGTATCCGAGAAAAAGATTTTTAAGAGGAAGGAAATGAAGCCGGGGGAATTTTTGTGGTCTAAATACCTTTTGCTTCACTTCTCTCTTCTGGGTTGTGTTTGGTTGCTGAGAAAGTTAGATTCTTTGGAAGATAAATTACTTTCCCATGTAGAGGAACTAGAAGCAAAATTAAAAAGCTTTTCCGCCATCCTTCATTCCTCTTCTTCCCAGGACCAACTTGCACATAGATTAGAGAAGAAAATGGCAATCCAACTTGAGGACCCACTTGTGTTTGTTGGGTTGATTAATCAGTTCAATTTGCCATACCTCTCTCTCTCTCTCTCAGCAACCAAACAAACCCCAGAAAGTGGAAACTGCTAATTAGGAAAATGGCAAGAGTCTCCATCCCTAGTTGTAGAGGTTGAAGACCCTAAACCTCTTCTTTTTATTAATTTCTCTCTTGTCATTACCTCATTTGGTTGCTTCCAAAACATTCTGGATTGCACCATTGGAGAATTTCTCTTCTTTGAATATTCGATCTATGATCTATAGTACTAGTACTAGACTTAGTGGGTATGTCACAAGATTTTCAGACTCACATATAAAAATTCTTAGATCCTCACCTTTCTGACTCACTGGGAATCTTCTGACTCAGATAACGTCTTGTGCTTTGTATTAGGTGTATAAAAGGAGACACCATATACATTCTTGATCAGCAGTTCAATTTCTCTCAAAATGGGGCATCTTTCTGCAATGTTCAAGCTTGCACGGTCTCTCTCTATGAAGAAAAGCAAGAACTTTTGTGGGGATGGGGATAATGGTGGAGGTGGTGGCAGAGAGGCCGCGAAAGCCATGGAGAAAGAAGCTAAGAAGAATGAGTTGATCTTGAGATCATCTGGTTGTGTAAATGTTGCTGGTTCCAATAACTTGGCCTCGTTGTTCTCGAAGAGGGGAGAGAAGGGTGTTAATCAGGATTGCTTCATCGTTTGGGAGGTTAGTGAAAATTTTCTGTTTCTAATTGTCTGGATTTTTAACAGTGTAGTATAAGATCTAGTCTCGAATATTTCAGCGTACTACATTGAACATAATCAATGGATTGTTTAAGATTGAACTTTCAGATTTCTGATGATCTAGGTTGTTTGTCGTTGAAATCCTGATAATCCTCGGATATCAGGTTTTGATAGACTGGTTTTCTTTTTTGTTACTAAGGACATAGATAAGTCTCACACCGACTCAGACATTATTGAGATGATCTGGTTCTTCTTTTGCTGATATAAAGTGTGACATTTCTTGTCTTAGGAATTCGGTTGCCAAGAGGACATGACATTCTGCGGGATATTCGACGGGCATGGACCATGGGGACATTTTGTGGCCAAGAAAGTGAGGGAATCACTGCCATCACACCTGCTGTGCAACTGGCAAGAAGCCTTAGCTGCTGCTGAATCCTCTTCGGTCGATTATCTTCTCGACGAAATCGACTTGGGATCTGATAAAAAGCTCCAGAGATTCAACATGTGGAAGCATTGCTACTTAAAGACATGTGCTGCTGTGGATCAGGAGCTGGAGCAGCACCGCAGGATTGATTCCTTCCACAGTGGCACCACCGCCTTGACCATCGTCAGACAGGCAAGTGAAATGGGTTTTCATACTTTCGATAAAACACTTAGCTGGTCATCGACGATTTAATCGTCTTTATGTATCCCATTGGTCTCCAAAATCGCGATATCGAGACATTTAAAACACCGAGTTGGACATCTTAACACCGATTTCAGTGATCTATGCCGGTTTCATGTTACCATTTTGTTTCTTTGTTTACAGAGTTCTAAGACTATGTCCTTGTTCCTTATGTATACAGGGAGAGTTGCTTTATATAGCCAATGTGGGAGATTCTAGAGCTGTTTTGGCCACATCAGAAGATGGAATTTTGGTGCCTGTTCAGCTTACTGTAGATTTCAAGCCCAGCCTACCTCGTTAGTTTCTGCCTCCTCAGCCTCTGCCTCTATATTTTTTCTTCTAGGGTTTACAGATTATTGAATACATGTCTGAAAAGCCGTTATTCCCATTGTCTTGGGTTGTTGCAGAAGAGGCAGAGAGGATAGTGGAATGCAAGGGCAGAGTGTTCTGCCTCGGCGACGAGCCAGGGGTCCATAGGGTCTGGCTACCGGATGAAGAATCGCCAGGGCTCGCAATGTCTCGAGCTTTCGGAGACTACTGCATCAAGGATTTCGGTCTCATCTCCGTGCCCGAAGTGACCCAGAGGCACATTTCCAGTAAAGACCAGTTCGTGATCATGGCGACGGATGGAGTGTGGGACGTGGTGTCGAACCAGGAAGCTGTGCAGATCGTATCGTCCGTGACGGACCGGTCGAAGGCGGCCAAGTGCCTGGTGAAGGCCGCGATGAAGGCCTGGAGGCGGCGGAGGAGAGGGATTGCCATGGATGACATCTCTGCTGTTTGCTTGTTCTTGCATTCTCCCCCTCCACCTCCTCCTTTTGCCGCCACAAAGATGGTTTGAGACAAAAATTGGAGATTCTGTTCTGTTTTGTAAATTGGGCCACAAAAGAGGGTAGTCGTTGCTTTCCGTGGGTCTCTTTTAAGTTTTATGTCCAACTACTAGACTTCGTAGGAAAATCAACCAGTCTCAAGAACATATGAGACTGCCCAGAATATGAGAAGGGTCACCTCAAAAAACACAATTACAAGCCGGTTTCAACGAGAATTGAAAGAGAATAAGCCGCTGACAAATCCAGGACACCTTTACCTTGTCGAGTAACCAAAATAGATTTGGCCGTGATCGGATAACCCAAATCGGCGGCGACGAAGTGAAGAACTGACCCACCGGGCTTTTACTCCACATTTTCGCTACTTCGTCGCTCACTGTCTGTGGGAGCTGGAGTACTCTGTCCACCAAGTCGTCAGACACGTTGTAGGAGTAGGAAAATCGAATTATCCTCAGCAATACCAAAAAGGTGACACTGTCAAAAAAAAAAAAAAAAAAACCAAAAAGGTGACCAATAAGTACGATAAATGGGTTGTTATAAACGCGCTGTTACGGATCGGAAAATCGCTAGAATCGAGAAAGTAAGAATACGAAAGTGAGAATCGAAAATACGACACACGATTTACGTGGTTCACTAATACGATGTGTGTTAGCTAGTCCACGGGCGAGAGAGAGTCGGTTTCACTATATCAAGGAGATTACAGATTACAGAGGAGATGTAGAGTATTTATATTTCTCCATGTGGGTCTAAACCTAATCCAATCTGGTAAAGGAAACGGTTACAAACAAGACCCAGAACCCGAACAACGAGACCCCCGACTATTCTAGTCGTAGCGGCCGATAGTCTGATTCAAGTCACATCAACAAATCTCCACCTTGACTTGAATCCTCTTCCTCTAAAATCTCTGATGTACTCTGTTCCTCTCTCTCTCCCGCCATCAATGTCCCGTAGGGCGGAGTCACCCACTCAAGACATTCAGCAAGTCCAAGAAGTGTTGGAACTTGCCACGTGGAACCGGCTTCGTGAACATATCAACAAGATTATTCGCGGTGCCAACCTTCTTCACCTTAATCCTCTTCTCTGTCCTCAAGAAATGATCCATCACGTCGATGTGCTTAGTCCTCTCATGGTGGACTTGATCCTTGGCCAAACATATTGCACTCAAACTGTCGCAATACACCACTGCCTAATCATGATGTAGACCCAAATCACCAACCTGTCCCATCAACCATATTCCCTCCTTAGCAGCTTCTGTCAACTCTATATACTCAACCTCATTATTAGACAATGTCACCACCGACTGCAGAGTTGCTTTCCAGCTCACTACAAACATGTACTCCTTCTCATCCTCTGACTGCGGTGCATAAGCTGATGATAGATGAACATTTGAAGCACTAGGAGTATTTAAGGGCTTTGCTGAAGACATGCCAAACCTCGACAGTATCTTCTGGATGTAGCTCTTCTGTGACAAGAAAAATTTCTTCTTCGACCTGTCCCTATAAATCTCCATACCCAAGATCTTCTGAGCAGCTCCCAATACCTTCATCTCAAAGTCAGCAATGAGAAGCCCCTTTAACTTCTGGATATCAGACTTCGACCTCACAGCTATGAGCATATCATCCACATACAGAAAACGAGAGATCATCGAACCATCCTCCACCTTGTTGTGATACACACAACAATCATATGGACTTTTGTTGTAGCCCAGATCAAGCATGTAACTGTCAAATCTCTTGTACCAGTGCCTCGGAGATTGCTTAAGTCCATACAATGACTTCTTCAGCTTACAAACATAGTCTTCTTTTCCTGGAACCTGGAATCCTTCTAGCTGAGTCATGTAAATTTCTTCCTCCAACTCTCTATGTAGGAAAGTTGTCTTCACGTCTAGCTGCTCGAGCTCCAAGTCATAATGTGCCACTATTGCCAGTAGCACCCTGATCGAAGTATGTCTGACCACTAGTGAGAAAATCTCATTGTTGTCAACTCCTTCACTCTGCGAGAAGCCTCGTGCTAAATTTTATTCCCTCTTCAGAAGTGATTCCCTCCTTCATCTTGTAGATCCACTTGTTTGTAACAATCTTCCTTCCCTGTGGTCGTTTGACTAGCTCCCAAGTCTGATTCCTGTCATGGGATTCCATCTCATCTCCCATTGAGGCAAGCCACTGATCAGCTTTGCCACCCGAAACGACTTCCCTATAGGACTGTGGTTCACTTGCATCCACTTTTTCAGCAACCTGAAATGAATACGCCACCATTTACTCGAAGCCATACCTGTGTGGAGGTACTCCTGCAGTCGCTCTCTTCGGTCTACCGGAAGCTCTAGATCGTTGAGCTCCTGCACTGGACTCTGAAGTTTCTGGCTTTGCAGAAACATCCTCATGTTATCTTCTCCACCTTGGTGCTCAAACTCACTCTCATTGAGAGTTTGCAGCTCCACCTGCTTATCAATATTCCTCCTACCTTCAACAACAGTAACTTTCAACATGGGGTTAAACATAGACTTCTCATCAAATATCACATTTCTACTAAGTATAACTCGATGCTCAGGAGGTGATTGGAGTCGAAATCCCTTAACTCCATCTCCGTAACCCACAAATACACCATTCTTTGCCCTTGGGTCCAGTTTACCCTCATCCACATGATAATAAACAGGACTAAAAAAAAAACTTTCAGTGAAGAGTAATCAGCAGGCTTACCATACCACACTGCATAAGGAGTCTTACACTCGATACCTGTGTGAGGTCCACGGTTGATCAGGAAGCACGACATGTTAACTACTTCTGCCCAGAATCTTCTCTTTAGTCCAACATTAGAGAGCATGCACTATGCTCTCTCCAACAATGTCTGGTTCATCCTTTCTGCAACGCCATTCTGCTGAGGTGTATCTCTAACGGTCCGATGACGGACAATCCCTTCATCCTTGCAGAATTCGTTGAACTCAGAATTGCAAAACTCCAGACCATTGTCCGTTCGCAGATTCTTTATCTTCTTCCCGGTCTGATTTTCCACCATTGTCTTCCACTGTTTGAACTTCATGAAAGCCTCACTTTTCTGCTTCATCATGAAAATCCAAGTAAATCTCAAATAATAATCAATAATAGACAAAAAAATACTTGCTGCCTCCAATGGATTCAACTTGTGAAGGACCCCTACAGTCGGAGTGGAGGTAATCCAGTATCCCCTTCGTCCTATGGATACCCTTCTAGGGAAACTTGCTGCGATGTAGCTTCCCAAACACACAATGCTCACAGAACTCCAAATTCTGCACCTTGTGTCCGCAAAGAAGATCCCTCTTCGACAAAACTTGCATCTCCCGTTCACTAATATGCCCCAGTCTCATGTGCAGAGAGTGGTCATATCTTCCTGATGAACGTGAGATGATGCAACTGCAGCAGAACCTGACAACACATTTCCTTGTAATGCATACAAGGTACCACGTTTCACGCCTTTCAGTACATTCCTCGAACCCTTGCAGACATACACAACTCCACCTTTCCCTTTGAAATTGATGCCCTTGATGTCGAGTAGACTTAAGGAGATCAGGTTCTTTGTTATTCGTGGAACATGTCTGGCGTTATTCACGGTATAGAACGAACCATCATGTGTCCGAACCTTTATGGACCCGATTCCAACAACTTGTAGACAGCTCCATTTGCCATGACCACGTTACCACCATCTATTTGCTCGTAGGTTGTGAAGCAATCTCTGTTCGGAGACATATGGTATGAGGCTGCAGTATCCAGAAACCATACATCACCACGATGTGTTCTCATCTACAACCAAGGCGAGATCATCTTCAAAACTGTTGTCCACTTCTGCCACGACAACTGAACCTTGGTTCTTTTGTTGCCCTCGTCTCCTGGGAGAATTGTAATTCTAATGCCCCACTTCCTTACAGTTGTGACAAGCATCACCTGGCTGTGGACCAGGATCCGTGGAATTCTTGTTCGAATTCCCTTTACCAGATTTCTTCTTTTTCTTTCCACCTGTAACATCCAAACCCGATGCCTCACCACCTGGACCAGATCCGGACGCCTTATGTCTGATCTCTCTCGTGTGAAGAGAAGATATGACATTCTCCAACGACAAGCTATCTTTACCAGCAATAAAAGAATCCACGAAATGCTCATATGAACTCGACAAAGACACAAGAAGGATTAGGGCAACATCTTCATCATCAATTTTCACATCTATATTGCATAAATCCAACAAAATAGAATTAAGTTATTCCAGATGTTCCCTCAAAAGCGCACCTTCTTGCATCCTCAAGCTAAACAACCGTTGCTTGAGATGCAGCTTGTTGGTTAAAGACTTCGTCATATGCAAACTCTCCAGCTTCAACCACAAGCCCGCGATAGTGTTCTCAGCAGCGACTTCAATGATGATGTCATCAGACAACAATAGCATGATGGTCGAGTGGGCCTTCTCCTCCAGGGTATTCCACTCATCGGTATCGACCGCTGCCTTCCTCTGTTTCGCAGACAGCTGTTGGAGAAAAGTCAGTCATGAATCCGAGGATCTCAGAAGAAAGGAAAGAAATCGCAGGATAGCCTTGTGGAGCAAGCAAGAAAGATGTGATGGAAGCAAATCAAATTCAGAAGGCGAGCATTTACGGGAAAGATTTCAAAAGTGGAGAACTTACCATTCGCGTACTGCAACGGCTAGTGTGTGAAGTATAAGACGAAGACTCTGGAGCAATGCAGGAGCACTTTTCGAAGAGATCAATCCTGCAAGAAGAGCTAAAGAGAGTAGCTAGCGAGGTTGATACGAAAAGAAAGATTGATTCAATTTCTGGAGAGAATTTGAATTGGGCAGTGTTTGGGATAAACACGGTAGCTGGATAGCTGAGAGATTTCTAGATACTAGAGAACTGATCGACTTCCAGGATTGGATCGATTGAGTTCATCGGTGTAATCGTGTAATACCTATCAAGACCAGTGAGCTTAGTGCATCGCCGGAAATCACAGGATAGTGACTTTCCGGCCGTGGATTAGTCAGAGTTGGGATTACCTTTTCCCAGCTCTGGATACCACGTAAAAATCGACTGTGCATCGTCTCCTTGAGTTCTGCTGTTGTCAATTTGTTCATACTCTGTTTTTTGTTTACGTTTGCCTGGTTAAGTGTTTGCAACAGGGAGTCGGCCTACCGAGTGAGCGAGGAAGAAGAAGGACTTGTCCTAAACGCACAGCTTTGGGATTAAACGCACAGTGCTTGGGTTGAGGAACTAAACCGGTCAAGTGTTTTGGGCTT